GTGAGTGAGTGAGTGCGTGGGTGGGTGAGTGAGTGAGTGAGTTGGGCGAGGGAGTTGAGTGAGTGAGTTGGTGTTGTTGGTGGAGGTTGTTGGTGGACGAGTGAGTGAGCTAAGTCGTCAGTGAATTGATGTTGTTGGTGGACGTTGTTGGGTGGATGTTGCGGGAGGAAGGAGGAGGAGGCGAGGAGCGGATACAGCACTATACAGCATGTCAATGTGGAGAAAAAAAGGCATGGGCTCGAGGAAAAGATCGCTACGACCTCGAACCGGAGGATGTGGCAGTGACCGTCATGCTCCGGATTCCCACGCTCAAGTGCACCACTCCACTATGTGAGAATAAAAATTGGGCAGGATCACTCAAATGTGATTTTCTGCAAAAACACATCTTGCTGTTGGCCTGATGCAATAGTGGCAACGGAGGCGGAGTGATTGCTCCGGAACGACCAGTAGAAGCAAACTCGCAATTTGCGCAAAATGTGCGGATGAGCACTTTGAACAGCACCAACATCCCCTCATGAAAAAGGTTGACTCGGCCTCCACCGTTCAAACTACGGACAAGCAATGGCAATACCACACATAGGTCTTGCTATGGTTTGGTGCAGGCTATGCAGGTGTCCCGGGTACCGCCCGGCTTCGGCCAGGGTCGGCGGATTTTCAACAAAAGAAATGGGAGCTAGTAGCGTCCTTGCTCCTAGTAGTAAGGCCAGGAGCCCCTAGTAGCGTTCTTGTTACTACTAGTAAGGCACTTGTTACTAGAAGCGATGCCCTTTGCTCCTAGTAGCGTCCTTGCTCCTAGTAAGGCCTTACCCTTCTTTGTTCATCTCTTGTTCTACGTTTCCCTTTAGAAAGTGGTGCTAATCAAAGCTTCTTCTCAGTTCGGCCGCACAGGTGCTGCCAACAAAAACCGCCTGCGTGCGGCCGTGGCCTGGTGAGAGGCCCCAGTGGAATCCTTCACTGCAAAAAGGTGGCCTCCAACCCTACTAGCGATGGCCTCCACCTTAGTAAAAACTAGAAAGTAATTTCGCATCTAGAAAAACTGGCTAGCCTCGAGTTCTACATGTTTTCTTACCCCATGCTTGCCTGAATGTCGAGGGCATCAGCCTATAACAGTTTCCTAGTTCTCCAACCTAATAGCAATGGCCTCCAAGTTGTTCTTGTTACTCCAACCTAGTAGCGTCCTTGCTCCTAGTAGCATGCTGAGGTTTGGAGAGTTCTCCAAGAAGCTCTCTTCTTTCCCGAGCCTCCAATACGACCGCCGGAACTCCGATGGCACACCCTGGTGCCTCCCGCGGCCGTGTGAATTTGGCCCTTTCGGCACCACATGATTTTGAGATGACCTCCAACCTAGAAGCAAACTAGGACCTAAGACCTTCGCTACTAGGAGCAAGGACGCTACTAGGGGCTCCTGGCCTTAAGAAGCTACTACTAGACCTTTCTTCCTTTTCTAATAGCGATGGCCTGGTGGAGGCCCAATAGCGATGTGGCCATCACATCACATTGTGCCATTGTGCCATGTGGTGCTGTGGTCACTTTGTGGTCTTGCTTTGGCGCAGTGGGAGTTGAGACAGGTATGGTGACTTGGGGAATATCCTCGAAGTGAAGGACCGGCTCAAGTCATGGCCCCAGGGGTCAAGTCATTGCTTTACTGCCCTTGGAGTAGTTAGTACTTAGTACTTAGTCGATAGTAGTTGATCGCTATGCACTTAGTGGTGCGCAGTGTTTGCTGGCAGCTAGTAGCTAGTAGTTTGCAGATAAGATAGTTGTGGTAAGATATTGTTTGAAACATCATTTCGCCTGTACAAAGCAACATCTGAAAACTGCTGAGGTGTAAGTCTTTCGCTTGGTTCATGCATCGCTTCAAGCACGTCTATGAGGCCAATGGACGGCTGGGGGGGAAGCCAGGTGAAGGGATGCGAAGATTTCGAAGGCACCTGTTACTACTAGCGTGGCACTTGTTACTACTAGCTTCTTGTTACTACTAGTAAGGCACCTGTTACTAGTAGCGTGGCAATGCCTAAAGCTAATGACGTGCAAAGCAAAACGCTAGGCTGTTCCCCAGAAATGGAAACACCAAGGAAATTCCATCAAGGCTACGGAAGCGCAACCAATCTTTCAAGGGCAGCAAACAAATGAGACACATTGGCAATTTTTGCAGTTGTGCTAGTGTCCTTTCAGACTAGGCCAGGCGGACCCCATCATGATTGACTCAGTTTTAAACACTCTCCATTCAAAATGAGGCTTAGGGTACTAGTGCGTCAAGTTGTTTGAAACTTACTAGTTAACTTTCTGGTCAGGATTTATGCTTTCCGTTTTTTGAGTGGAAGATGGTCTGATATGTGTTTTGCCTTTTGGTCCATGCTCGAACATTGATATCGCACACATGACTGAATCTGAAATCCCGTGTTTTGGTGTTGCACTCTGAAAGCGTTGCTTGGCTGAGCGCAGCTGTTTAGGATGGAGGTCTGATCCCGCGGGAGACCTTCACCCTCAAAGATGGCAGCGGCACCTTGGATTGAGCTCCGTTCCCAACCTACTAACGATGGCCTCCAAACCTAAGAGCAAAGGCTTGCTGTACATGGGAAAGGTGCCATCGATGTTCAAGCTGTAACTTCCTTCAATCCGTTTGGTTCATTTAGACTGATTTTGTCTTGCCATTGGCATTAACCACCTGCTAGTCGCAGCTCCAGACATGACAGTCCAATGTTCTGACTTAGGGTCGGAATTGAAAACATCTAACAAGATATGAGATAACAATAACAAATATAGATTTAGAAAAAATACACTAGAACAAAAAACACATAGATTCATGTATTTTCCATTATATACCCGTTTCCTCCAGGCATAGATTCATGTAGAGAATGTAGACCGCTTTCAGCAGAGCTGACACCCTCAGCTTTTAGAACATTCCTCGGTCATGCCTGTGGATGTCAAATTTGGGCGAACGGCTTTGGAGAAATGTTCACGAAGCCAAGCTTTCAACGGGAAGAGGAATACTGTAAAGGACAAATCAATGATTCTCAACCACGCATAAAGAGGTACATTGATTTGGCTTCGAATCTTTAGGATTTGTTCCTTGGAAGCTGTCGCCTGAGGTCATTGCTTAACCTACCAGGGGGAAGCGGGGTCGGGGGCCCAGAACATCAAGTACATCGGAAAGTGAGGAACGATGAGAAGGGAACTGAGCATTGTCATTTTCTCCTGTAGACTTTGAGACCTTCCCAAAAAGTTGACAATGCTTCCAGACAGCTTGAAAAACTCAAGCTTGAAAGGGGAAAAAAACCATCCTGTAACACTGGTGAAATGCAAGCTGAAGGCTAACAAGAGTTTGCAGACAATATTGGCAGCTACAAATAAAGCCGGTAGCCGCTTCACTTTGCTGTACAGAGTCATGTCTCGGGATATCCCAGTAGCTTCCCTAAAACAACTAGAAAAAAAGGACAATAGCAAAAAGGTACCTAATAGCGATGGCCTCCAGACTAATAGCGATGGCCTTCAACGTAAGAGCGATGGCCTCCAACTCAAGCCCATTTGGGTTCCAACTGAGAGAAGAATATGCATAGATATCAGCAACTTAGCGTTGAAGAATGGTCTTGTTCTTGAGCATGTTCTTCAAAACGTCTAGGGACCAAATCAAAGTCTGTAGCCCTTACTTAATTGAGTAGGCGCCTACAAACAAAGCTTCACCCGTAGCATCCAACTCTTATTCTGAAGTGTTTCCAGGGTGGCCATGGTGAGCTCTTTCGTGAACCGTTCCAATCGCTCAGGACAAGCCCCAACGGAAGAGGGACGGCAGCAGGGGGCTGAGATGGGCTGAGATGGGCTGAGAGCTGAGAGACTTTTGGAGAGGGACGGTGAGACTCCTGGCTTCTAGTAGCGTCCTTTGCTCCTAGTAGCGAGGCCAGGAGCCCCTAGTAGCTTCTTGTTACTACTAGTAAGGTAGAAGCGATGCACTTGTTACTAGTAGCTTCTAGTTACTAGTAGCTTCTTGTTACTACTAGTAAGGCACTTGTTACTAGAAGCGATGCACTT